TCACCGCGCTACCGCCCCTCCATCTCGGGCACTTCACCGCAGGGTTCCCCCTCCGTCCCGTCTCCTTCACCTCACGACAGCCCCCTTCCATCTTGAGGGTCTCACCCCTCCGTCCCGTCTCATTAGCCCCAGGGCTGCCCCTCCGTCTCGGCCGCTTCACCGCCAGCTCGGCGCTGTCGCTTCACAACTGCCGCTTCCGTCTTGGTCCTCACCTCAGGGCTGCCCCTCCACCTCCGACCTCACCTCAAGGTTTCCCCTCTGTCTTGGTCCTTGCTCAAGGTTTTGCCTCCATCCTATCTTCTTCATCTTGGAGCTGCCCTTCCATCTTGGCTCCCTCACTTCAGGGCTGCCCCTCCATCTCAGTCCTCATCTCAGGGTTTCTCCCCTTCATCCCATCTCCTTCACTTCACAACTGCTCCTCCACCTCAGCACCGTCACCTCACAACTGTCCCTCCATCTTGGTCCTCACCACAGGGTTCCTCTTCCATCCCATCTCAGAGCTCCATCTCCGTCTTGGCTCTCTCATCTCAGGGCTGCCCCTCTAGCTCAACCCTTAGCTTAAGGTTTCCCCTCCATCCTGTCTTCTCCACCTCCTGCCTGCCCCTCCACCTCAGTGCCCTCACCTCAGAGCTGCCCTTATATCTTGGCCCTCGCCTCAGGGTTTCCCCTCCATCCCATCTCATTCACCTCACAACCTCCCCTCCATCTGGGTTCCCTCCCCTCAGGGCTGCCATGGATCCACACAGATTGCAACCACACAGCCCCGTTCCCACTGCCCTGGCCAGGGGCATCATCCCTCCTGCCCTGCTTCCGAGGAGATCTCCACTGAAACAGCCCCAGCAAGGTCCAAGTAAAACATCGCCATTAACACACCCCCATAGCCACCTAACTCAGCAGCGAGCAACCCTCTGGCACACTCAGCCAGAATCAAACAGCAACCTGGAGCGAGCAACATGCTGAGAAAATGTCGGAGAAGAAGGAGTGGGTGAAGCTGCACCCTTGGACTCCACATTCCCTTAGGAATCACAGCTGAAAATGGGCTTTAAAAGCCCCATCTCACTGTCCCCTTCCCCGCTGCATCTCACACACATCTGCTCCATAGTTCTGCCTCCGAGGATTTACTACAGTTTCCCTCTCTTACTCTCCGTCCAGCCCCCATTTGCTTTTTTGGACCCTGGCAATCTGAGCTTGAGTATTTCAGTTGTCCAGTTGCCAATCAAAATATTTGAAGGAAATGTTTATTTTCTTCTCGAAATCACACCAGCTGCTGCACTAACTGAATAAGCCCATTTAGCTGTAAGAATTTAACCATTGTAAGAGTGAATTGAGTCCCCCAACTACTCCAAAATCTGACCCAATCTATCAGCGGAAATGTCAATGTTTTGGATGGGAGTTTGGGGAAGTGTGGAATGTGTATTAAATAAAAGCCATGTAAAGGTCAAAGCCCTGATTAGTAATGCCACTGTGTCCTCCTTAGGGCTGAGCTGCCCAGGGGACCTCGGAGGCCAGGACACACCCTGTGATTTAATTGTGCAGCTGCAATTTGCACCTTTCAAGGACCCCCAAGTCCTCCCGCACGTGGAGCTGGATAGAAACAGGCTTTGAAAGCTGC